ATTCTGTAAAGGACAGTGATCTTGATAGACTAATAACTGCCTATCAGTGCAGTGCTGCACTATAAAATAGGCTGATGTGACCTTGGATATATAAACAGGATACAAAAATAGGCAGAGTTCTTTATCTTAATGTATGTTGTTAGAAGGAATGGTTTCAAAATACTGCAGGTGATCCTATTTTTATAAATTAAAAAGACCATAAAACCTGAAAAGAAGCGCAGACACTTTAGAAAAGAGCAACAACTCTCTTGGGGGCTGGAAGTGAGAGACTTTAGAAGCTCTGTATGTTTGTATTATAAATATAAAGTGATTGCAGTCAATAAGTAAGTTCTCAGAGGAAAAATAAATAATTGTGCCAGTGTTGACTGTTTCTGAGTATCTTCTGTCATGACTGCCTACCCTTCTGGAAGCTACTGAAACTTTCCATCTTTTATTTGGAGATCTTTTACCCAGTGCAGTGGAGAGACATCACAGAACCTGTGTAGCTCCTGAGTGTAAGGCGTGCATTTGTGGGCAAAGCCACAGAGCAGACAACTAGGGCAAACACGCTGCCAGGCTAAGCACCAAATGCTGGCTGTTCCCAGTGCAGGCACCTTGGCGAGTCTCTGCTGGCCCAGCAGTTGTCATCTGGGTGGGATGTGTTGGAGTGAGCTGATCTATGTCTTGCCAAGTTGACTTCTTCTGAGTCTTGACATTTTTTTCTTGGTTTTTTTTTCCACACTGGTATTTTTCTGCAGCTCCCCGGGTTACCAGTGTTGTGTTAAGAAATTAATGTCTGTTTCTCATTCTATTTTCCTTGCAAATCTTTGGCTTGTAGAGAAGTAGCAGTGAAATGTATTAGTCCACAATGAGTGGGAAGTTAAGCTGCGTCATCTGATGGCCTGTTTTGATGTCGGACTATGATTCCATGAAGCAAATTGGTTGAAATCCTTTATTCATTTAAAACTGTTAGATCAGACTGTCTGGAGATGTGTAGAGAGAGAAGAGGAGAAAAGAAACTGGTGAAATGAATGTTTTGAAGGCTTTTTCCTTGGTTGTACAGACAGCATTATAGAGTTCATCTTCAGTATTTTGAAATCAGAATTAAAATTCCACGCTGTCAGTCCTCGGAGCTCTGCTCATCATAATTTTAAATAAAACAGTTCCCTCAAGACCGGGCAAAACCTCTGAAAAGATTAATTTCAATTGTAAATTCTAATAATAGCAGTGTAAGATATGTCCAAAAAAAAGAAAACTGGAGCTCAGTATGGCATAATGAGTTATAATAATGTAATATCTATTAAAGTATGTACTGGAAGACAAAGCTAAACACTTTTAAATTCTAAGTCTGAACTGTGTAGTATACTAAAACAATAGGTTTACAGCTGTATGTTAAAGTCTGCATATTATTGTTGGGCAAGTGACAGTATTCCTAGCTCAGTTATTTAAGTAAGGACATGCAAGTGCTAAATCTGATTTATTTTTATCCAAAGAGATTTTTTTAAAGAATTTTTGAGTTCATTTTGAATTGTGACATGACTTTGTAAGGGCAGACCTGCACTCTTTCACTCTTGTTTACTCTGCAAGTTTTACACTCCACATTTACCTCTGAAAACTGGCTGCTACAAGGGGACATTGGATGTCAGAAATGTCAATAACATTGCTTAGTTGCAACCAATTTATTTATAGCTTTTTTCATAAATATGAACTACAGTAGTTTGAGACACACTCTTCTGCTTATCCTGGTAGTTAATGGCTTGTCTATAAAGGCCACTTTGCATGAATTCTTTTTTAAGAGGAATGGGATTTTTTATGGCGTATAGAGGACTATAAATAAGTAAACATAGGGACAAGGGTCAGTAAATATAGCTTCCTGCTTTCATTAACTTTTCAGGGAATTTTCTCTCATCTTAAGCATCATATGTGTACTGTCCACCAACTCTTTCTAGTTGCTTTGCATGTGAATTTCCATTTCTTCAGAAACTTTCCCTATTCTGCAGTCAGAAGAGAAGTGTTCATTCCTGTATGCAATTCAGATGTATACATGTGGACATTCCTCTTATTCTGGATTTTTTTATCAGTGAATTTTTTTCAAGGAGCTGGGAGTTGGAGGCTTCTTGGCAGTACAATTTTTCTGCCATCAGGTCTGTGCTGATGGGGATAGACTGCTTCTTAATTACCTCATTTAAAGATAGCTTGGGTATCTCTGTCCCCCACTGAAGTCTATCATGTAGATATCTCCAAATCACTGAAGTGTGTGAGGATTTTTTACTTTTTTACCTTACCCATGTCCTCACTTTTATAGCTGGCCCTGTTGATTTCACCACTTTACTGGGGTTTGTATTTCTTTGCTGTAAACATAAATGTTTATTTTATCTGCCACTATTTGCACATTTTTGATTGATAATTATTCTATGCCCTGTAGTATGAGTACTGTTGGAAAGACAATCTCAATTTTTATGATTTTCATTTCTGACTCAGAAGGTGATAGCATTCAAATTCTGATTAGTAGTTGTTTGGTTGATTGAACTCTCCAGTTTAAGTTTCTACCAGATTTGGTGGATATAGGTGAGCTTATGCGAGCATAAAAGATGTTTAGTATGTTAAATGTCTCAAAAATTGTATTTTTAAGAAGGCTCAGTTATTTGATGGGTTTGCTTGGTAAATGTATACAAGAAATGTTATTAGATTATAGTTCAACTAAATTTCAACTTAGCATACTTTTAGTGATGAATTTACTTTAGTTCTTAATTTTTTTAATGTATAACTTCGAGCTTTCAAGTAGCATTTGATTAAATCAGGCAAGGAATTAATTAATTCAGGCTCCACTGAAGAAATGAATTAGTTTTCCTTCCTATATTTTGGAGCTTGTCCTTGGATATATTAGTTTTGAATATCTGGATGATGTTTATTAAATCATGATTCTGCTACCACAAAAATTGTGAAACTGAAATGGCACTTCAAGCCCCAACACTGTTTGTAGAAACAGTTAATTTCTGCCTGCAAATCTAGGTTTAGCAGTAACATATGGTGGTTTTCATTTTATTATTATTTAATTCTGTATTAAAGAATTAAAATTTAATTACAATAACACTTTATAAGATATAACTTCAGCTGAAAACCAAGTATATTGATAAATAATCCATGTTTGCTGGATGGAGAGAGGAGGGGAGGAGAGATGGAGAGAAGGAAAAAAATGTTTAAGTGAACTGAAGTATTCTTAGAAGCCAGCTGAGTATTCTGTCTTCTCAATGAAAAGGAAATGTCTAAATCTAATAGCTTAATTGTTTTTGGAGGTGACAGGTCCCCAGTACATTATACCTTTACATAGGAAACTGCTGCATCACAGGCCAAATAGGAGGACACTTTCTGACTCTTCGAAAAGAGTATGATGGCCTGATGTAAACAGAAGATACTATGACAGCTGTAAATCACAGCTTTGTAAGTAAGCAGAAGGCAGCAGTAATCTCAGTGGGGTTAGTGATTCCATTTTTTGGAAGTAAAATAGGGCTTGTAAAACCATGTTTATCTTCAAGTTAGTCACAAAGCTTCATAAATTGGTGAAGTGGTGAAGAGGTGGAAAGCAGAATACTCCCCTTTGTTGAATATTCTTTTAAAAATGTCATTACTTTCTTCAAATAAATCATTAAACTTTTATTTGGTTAATGCTGAGCTTGTTTTACCTGACTGCAAATTTGCTGATAAGACTATTTCAGTTTCAGGTTAAAAGTCAACATACATTCAAATATAGAGGAACTCTAATTGTCACTGATGCTAAACACAAAGGAAGATGCTAGGTCAAGTTTCCTCTAGTGAGCTGGCGAGTTCATACAGTTTCCATGCCAATGTGCCTTTTCCATAAGGCAAAAAAATATGACCTGGCTTCTGATGATGATGTTGATGTACTGCTTCATAGAAACACATTATAGATAGCTCTACATTGATCGTCTGGACAGATAAGAGGTGGAAGACAGTGGGCAACAGCGTAAACACCCCAAATGTAAGGATAGTGGTGTCATGTTGCAAACTACTAGCTTCATTTTTCTCCATCATTTAACCACCCAAGGAAGAACTGGAATTTTTTAACTGTAGGGAGGAATTGAACGTTCAGAATACACTAACTTGATGATTATAGGAAACTGCCCTATACAATGCTTAAATTTATGTTTAAATCCTAATTTACATTTCTTAAATTGGAGGGTCAGATTAAACAATTCCATTAGAGGGCAGTAGTACATGTAGGTACAATGTCTCATGTACTAAATATTTAGTTTACAGATAGCTTCCTTATCACTATTAGTTGTGTTCTGCATAATTTTTACATTATTAGTGAAAATAAAAATGCTAATGCAATTTAACATTAAAATAATGCAGAAACATTTTGTAGTGTACAATAATGCACATCCTGTCATGTATTAAAAAAGCAAAATGAATATGGTGGAAATGATGCAAAATGTATGTAAGCAGCTTTCAGCACTGTTATAGTCCAGCTAAAATGTCAACTTTGAAGCTGTTAGTTTTTCTGTGTTCTTTTTGAATTCTATAGTTTGTATATTGTATAACTAAATTTCTAGGAAGTTTATGGTTTGTTTTTTTAAAGCATCTTACTTTTGAAACTCTGTTTTTCTTTATTTTATTTGCTTTAATGCTTAAGACCATGTGCAGACTTTCTAGATTTCCAGACAATGGATTCCAGAAACGTGCAGGCTTTTTCAGGCACCTTATAATGATTAAGCATCGGTACTGCATTGTGATTTGGCAATTATTTCTGCAAAAGATTAAGGGGTTTTTTGAATTGTATCTTCTGAGACATTTGATAATGAAATAAAAGCCATAAAAGCCTAACTGTTTAGATTGTGGGTTTATCCATACTCCCAACATTTTAATTGGTTTAATAGCTTTAAGTGTGTATACCTGACTAATATGGCTAGTTCAAATCATACCCGTTTAATACTTTACTGTACTTTATATGTTTTGTCCAAGCAATACTGGAAACATACCATTTCTTTTTCCATTTTCAGTTGTGTTACTTGATACTACAGCTGTCCTCGGAGAACTGGGATGGAAAACATTTCCTTTAAATGGGGTAAGTCACTGACCATTTTGGTTTTATTGTCTTGATTTTGGCATTCTGCCACTCTGGAAGTGAATGGCCATCATACCTGGGTGGATATTCTTGCTCTCTCCGTAGCAGAATAGACTTGGCAGAAAGATTTCAATTTTTCTCAGGGTCTGGAGGAGCCTGTGTTATAGCTTGGAATAACAGATGCGAGAATAACTTAAGCATACATTATTATACCTTTCTCTTGCTTTTCTGAGTGTTAAGAATCTATCTTACTTTAAATCTGGTTCTAACTGTTACACATCATAAAGTTCCATATTAAAAGTTCCTACACTGGAGGAATGTGTTATGACTACATTTTTTTGTGAAATAAAAGGAAAAATTGTTTTCAATTTTTATCTTGAAACAAAACTTTAATGATTTAAGTGAAGTTTAATATGGACTTTAGCATCTGGTGAAATGGTATCAGGTTAGCTAATTCAGAAAAACATTATAAACATGTTAACATCATTAAACCAGTTTAAACATTTAGAGAAAATATTTAAATACTGTGTTTTTTTTTTTTTTTTCCTGCACTGATCATTCTGTAGTGAAGTTCGCTATTCCAGTTTAATGTCTTACATGGGTTCACTGTACTGTCAGTACAGATTGCCTGGAGGCACTTGACATTGCATGCAGAATGCTAGAAGTTGTCTGGAATACTTGGAGATGGTGTGACCAGGTGAGCGTGGGGAAGAGGAGCATTTTTACTCTTTGAAGTTCAACCATCAGTGCTTTGCCAGTGGCTACACTTTCAAAACCTGTCTTCTCTTTCTGTCTAGATAGTGCATGTAACAATATCAGAGGCATTTGTATTTCACTTTTTAATTAGGACACAGTATACTGGAGCATTGAACACTTATTGTATCAGCTTCTAGTTCTGATGTCACTATACACATTGTGTATCACTTATTTGTATATTAGCTGGCATTATCTCTTAATTCTTGTGTATGAAGCATATAATTACTACATGAGCATATAATTCTCTGAAATATGCTCAGAAAATACTGTTTTTCTGAGTGAAAAATCTTTTTTCATTTTTAGCTATTTCTTTTCTTGTGATCTGTTTCAGAAGGAAGCAGAAATTGTCTATCCTCAGCACCTTAATAATCCATTTTTATAAAATGCCTTCTGTGTCTCTGCCCTCCGGGATTTCAAGCAATGTGACATTTGTTAATCTCAGCCTATTTTCAACTTTATGGATTACTCTTTCTCAGGGTTTTCTAGTTCTTTGTATCCCCAGACATAATTTCAGTCTGTTGCAGATACTTCTCCATTTTACACTTCGCATGCAGTCTCATGCAATCTGAGTTACAATTCTGAAAGTTTTATTTCCTTCAAAAATCCTAGACAAAGCAAATACTGTCATACGCTATGATGAGAAAATACAGCGAGGAATTTTTGCTTTAGCTTTGTGATGAGCTCCATTGAATTGAACAGGGAGGCTGATTTCAGTTACTCTGTAAATTCTTAAAAGCTTTAGTTAGTCCAGTAACAATAACCACAATATACAGGCAGATAGAAAACTGCCCTCAAAGTCAATTTAAAACATAGCTATTACAACACACCTATTTTGGTTAGTCATATATACCCTTAACATTAGTTTTGCAGTATATTGAGGTTTTTCGGTGTTTTGTAATCTTTGCTGTGTTTTAAGAATTAGCTGCATATACTAGAATACACAACTTACATTTGAATCAGTGCTTGGGATTCAATTATTAGAGAAGAGAAAAGCAGTTTGTAGCATGAGGAAAACGTATAGAATAAGGCTTTCTGGGACATAAAATAGAAGAGGCTAGAGCAAACACTGTGAGAGAAACTTGATAAATTAACTATGGAGAGGTAGTTAAGAGAAGTTTGCGTGTGCTGTTAACTCAGGAAGAAAATATGCTTAATCTATTGATTAATTAATCTAAGCTGTAAACAGAATAAAGAATCCTGTGTACTACAGCAAAGAAGTTTTTGAACAAACTTTTGAGAAGTTGTACAAGTGGTAAAACATGATTTGGAGAAGCACGAAAGAATGACAGAATGGCAGGGGTTGGAAGGGACCTTTGGAGATAATCTAGTCTAACGCCCCTCCCAAAGCAGGTTCACTTAGAGCAGCTTGCACAGGAACTTTTCCAGGCGGGTTTTGAATATCTCCAGAGAAGGAGATTCCACAACCTCTCTGGGTGGCCTGTTACAGTGCCCTGCCACCCTCAAAGTAAAGAAGTTTTTTCTTATGTTGAGATGGAACTTCCTGTGTTCCAGTTTGTGCCTGTTGCCCCTGGTCCTGTCACTGGACACCACTGAAAAGAGTGGGGCCCCACCTTCTTATTGCCCACCCTTTAGATATTTATAAACATTGATGAGGTCCCCTCTCAGTTTTCTCTTCTCCAGGCTAAACAGACCCAGGTCTCTCAGCCTGTCCTCACTAGGGTGATGCTCTAGTCCCCTGATCGTCTTCATAACCCTCTGCTGAACTCTGCCCAGTAGAGATAGAGATCAGATATTGGTCACATTCAGCAGAAGATGGCTGGATATGCATACAAACATACAAAAAAGGCCCTCCATTTCTCACAACATTCCAGAAAAGGCTGCTGTGGGCAATAGGACCATGTACCGGTGCTGCTGCACCTCTAAAACGGTGCTGAAGGAAGGAACAAAGTTTAGATATTTGAAGATACTGAAAAATTGCATAAAGCTATTGAAATATGAAAAATTACATTACTTTGGCTTACAAAATATTGAAGATTTAAAGTAAAAAACTGGAAAGTATTTCTAAACTGTTTCTATTTAAATTATTCTGGGATTCTGTACCTTCCACAAAGGTAAGAAGAAAATTGAGCTTGCAATTGCTCATGTAATTAACAGAAGATGGCATTTGTGTGCTTCCTCATGTCACTTTTGCATGCAGTCTCTGAAACAAAGGACCAATGTTGCTGTTAATTGTTACTTGATTCTTATTAAAATGTAAGGCAAAATAGTGCTTTCAGGGTCAGCTAATAACTCCTATTATACTTAATGATTTAGTAAAGAACAGTAAGACTGTTGTCTTTCTAAATCTTGCACAAACATTAATGTTTTATGTCCACAGTGCTATCTACTCTGAGTTATTTATCTGTCCTAACAGAATTTATAATATGGGATAATTATTGGTGTGATTGAGATTATCACTGCAGAAATAAGAACCTATTTGTCCCATGATGGGCACGTCAGCATTTTCCCTTTTCTGGAGGAGAGTGACAGGTTTTGGTTTGGTGATGCTTTTGGTAGAGGTTTTTGTTCAGATACTGAGTAAATCTTACATGTTACTTCAATATATTTTTTTTCCAAAATAAATGTGTGTGTTATGTTTATGTGTGTAAGAAAAATGTCATTGATATTAACATTTTTGAGGTTATAAGGATGGGATGACAGATTTTCTTGAAACTGTGACATTAACAGAAGTCATTAATTTACTGGCATACGCAGTCACGAAGACTGTTTCCATTAAATTAAATAGCAGCTGAAGTATCAATGTTTGGGATTTGGATAATATTGAATATGCCTCAGAGATTTTAAACTAACAGGCTAGGGTTGAAGTAGGCGAAAAAAAATTCTTTTGGAATTTGCAGAACTTTAACCTTCACCACCAAGACTTTTTATTTATAGTAGATTCATAACATAATGTTTGCAAGCTTTCAGCAGTTTTGGTAACTTCTAGAGGTACCTACCCGAGCAAGTAAAGATACAACACAGACTAGTTTTGTACGCGACATTTGTATGCAATCCCATCATTTAGCTGCAGAGATGAATCATGCACAACTGTGTTATCCATTCCTTGGTAATATAGTATGTGATTTTATTTTTTCATTTTCTTCCCAGTTATTTGTGCAACCTTCCTGAAGCATAAGAATACAATAGTTTTTCTTACAAATGTGCTTTATTTGCTTGTCAGATTTTTTCCTTATATTTTGAACAGGTAACAAATGCTTAGAACTACAGAAATGCAGCATAAAACATTAATATCTTTGAGGTCAATAGAATGAGCTTTTGTTGATTGAGTTCCAATTTAGCTTCTCAGTGATGGGCTGTCTAAAATTTCTGCTTTAATAATGGACACATTTGATACTTCCTCTGTTCTTTGGGCTGCAGTTCAAAATGACTGATTGATTTATAAAAAAGCATATGCTATGGAATGAAAGTACATCTTTACTCAACAGACTGTCACTCCATAACCTTGAAAATGCAGAATTAGGTTTTTTTGATTGGTACAAAAACTGGGAAGGAACCCCTTCATGGTTATCAAAAGAGGATGTGAATGTGAGCTAGTGGGCAGGCCAGTTGAGTTCTTGTAAACCATTATCCAGGGTTCCAGCTGAAGTCAGTTTGCTGACCCTGAGGACACTATTATTTTTCTTAGGTTTTCTCACTACACCCTGAGGTGCTGTGACTGTTAAAAGGGCAGGGTTTTTTCTAGGGGATTAAGCACTATTTAATCGGTTGATAAGGTTTTGAGAGGAAAGGAAAAAAAACTGAACACCTAACTGAAATGTAGTGGTCCACAACCTTCATTTATCCATTTGCAGTAATACTAATAAAATAATGTACCTTAAGCAACTCTGGTTGTTGGAGTTTTTCATTCTGACTTTAACGCAACTTTGTTTGTTAATTTTTAAAAAAATATTTATTTCCTATTGCATTAGGCAATGTAACACAATTTTGTGAGCAAAGTTTGCTCATGAACAGTGGTTTGGAGACTATTGTCATAAGGTCCTGTCTATTCCTGAAAAACTTCTACCATAAATACTGCTACTTAACTCTATGAATGCCTTATTTTGTATAAGATGAATCTGCGTTGTAACTGTTAATTTGGAATATAGTGTTCTGTCTTAATTAATAATAACAAAATATTCTGCTTCTAACATAAATCTAAATTTTAACTTGTATGTAGCCACTTCATAAACTCCAGAAACATTTTTAAATTACTATAAAAGAAGGACAAGGTGACTCATAACACA